GTAGTGCTTTGCAGAACCCACCACCGGATCGGAATCGCGACTCACTGAGAAGATCCGACAAATGACTGTTATTTTGTGATGTCTATTCTCTTCAATAACTTCTTCATAAATTTGTAAAGTTCTTGCAAAGGGTAGATTTAAAAATAACTCTAAAGAAAAGTTCCGATCAACTTCACTTTGCAGTGTACGTTTGCAAATATTTCATCGCGGTGAGCTTAATAAGCATAAATGAAACAAAATATATATAATAAAAGTGTACAACGAATTTCTATCTTAATACACTTTATCATTAAAACGTCATCGGATGAAATGGTTTACACTCGGGCACACGGGCGCTAAATGGGCCAGAGACGCCTTTGTTTGTTCATTGTAAATACATATAATATACATATGAGGACTTTCTGATCACAATTGATTTCCACGGTGAAGGAATAACATCGTGTAATAAAAATGAAACCCGCAAAATTATAATTTGCGTAATGCTGGTGGTAGGACCTCTTGTGAGTCCGCGAGGGTGGGTACCACCACCCTGCCCATTTCTGCCGTGAAGCAGTAATGCGTTTCGGTTTGAAGGGTGGGGCAGCCGTTGTAACTATACTTGAGACCTTAGAACTTATACCTCAAGGTGGGTGGCGCATTTACGTTGTGGGTGTCTATGGGCTCCAGTAACCACTTAACACCAGGTGGGCTGTGAGCTCGTCCACCCATCTAAGCAATAAAAAAAATTGCACAAAACTTAGAAAACGAAAAGAAAAGAAAACAAAATCAAAAATGAATTATTTATACTTCGTAATAAAGTACTCAACATTACATTCTTAAAAATACTCGTTTGATCCATTCAAGAGATGAACTACTACTACGAGAAAATACTATTTTTGCTAAAATCCTTCCACATCAAGCTAATCCTGCTAATCCATGAACACAATCCACTGAATCTCTCCCCGAATCTTTTTAGTGGGTCGCGATTCCGATCCGGTGGATATCTAGACTCTAGCAAGAGCAAAGCACTGCTCTTGCTAGAGTCTTTGTTAGCTATTCTCTCAAATTGAGCCCGTGAGCTTACCTACGGGTCCGTGAGTATTTGGAATAGATCCAGTTAGAGAAAGATTTCGTATGTCAAACACGAATGTGAATTTGACAGGAGGCGAGTAGAGAATCTATATATTAATACGTGAAGCAAAAACTTTGTATCCCTTTTTACGAAAATTGCGCGGGCGGAGGAGTATGAAATTTTCCACACTTATAGAGATTATAAAGAAGAAGTGCACAATGCTAATATATTTTTTAAATAATGCATAAAAGATACATTAAATCAATAAAGAAAACATTACACACACTACATACTATGTATTTGCCGCACACACACATGCATACTATTTATTGTCAAACTTTTGTTCTTGACGTCTGTTGTCAAATTGAGAACAGATTAAATATTGTTTGTCTTTGTTAATATTTTTTATAGTGTAGTCTTGGCGAAATTTGTGATTATAGAATTATAAAATATAATCTTAATACAAACAAACTTACAATTCAATTAATTATAGTGTTATATAGAAAATGAAATGTGTCTTTTGATTAGCTTGAACAAGAATTACAAGATCAAATATGATGAAACATCTGGCTTTCGATTTAGAATAGTTATAAACAAACATCGGGATCTACTGCAATGTAGAACACAAAATACTGTCGTCTTGTTTATTTAGATTTCTAGGAGTGTTGCGTTTTACAGTTCATATAAAGGGTGTCCCAGAAAGAATCGATAATCCTGAAACACCTCATAGTAGAGCTATTGGGGACTCAAAGTAAAAAATAATTAAAATATTTCTTAGGTAGTACCCAAATTAAAAATAAAGAAAAAAACTGAATTTCATGATTAAAATTTAAGTTCAGGTTAACTTTTACAAAAAATTACACTAGCTACTCATAAGATTTCCTGCATATTTCTTATTATAGTCCATGTAGAGTATTATAACACCAAAAAGCCTATGGATCTCATTTATTTGTAGCTACTGTATATTCCAGAAACGCACAGCAGAGTGGAAAATTAACATCATATTCTTTTAAATACGTAATTTGGGTGCTACCTGAGAAATATTTTTTTTATTTTTTATTTGTGTCCCCAATAGCTCTACTATGAGGTGTTTCAGGATTACCCATTCTTTCTGGGACACCCTGTATACATACAAAAAAAAGATAAAAACAGAATTGTGTGTTTTAAGCGTTTACGATTCTGACTAATTGGTTCCCAATAAAACGTATTGTTCGCGTAAACGGCGCCATAATGTTCAATAAATGCGTGCATGCAGACAATTTACGACTCTGAGCTGTCGGAGTTCTCAAGTGAAAATACTCGATGATGTATAGTTTTTGTTTTTGGATATAATCCCGCACGTAACACAATCTTATTTTTGTTTGTTTATCTCGAGTGCGTGGCCCGGCTGGTCACGTTTATATTTATTTATTAAACTTCATTTAAAATTTACATTTGCGGACTTAATGCCTAAGGCATTCTCTACCGGTCAACCAAAGGTAGTGCAGAGAAAGTAGTGGTAGGCGCAATGAAATTTATATTAAATTACAAATATATATACATACATACATACATATAATAGTTTATACAGTATTCAAAGGAATGTATTAACAAATCGTATTATTTTGTTTTCATTTTAAACATAACATAACGATATTTTAGTCCAGTGAGTTTATCTCCGGATCTTCTCAGTAGGTCGCGATACCGACTCGGTGGTAGATTCTGGGAAGCACTGCTCTTGCTAGAGCTAGTGTTAGCAAATTCTCTTAGGTTACATACGCTCTCCTACCCGTCCGGGCGTAGCTGAAATAGCCTCTTAGGCTACCGGAGAATAGGTAGGGGGAAAAACCGTTTTTTTAGGAATGGGAAGGAATAGGAAAAAGAACGTTTGTAGTTTTTTTTTTAAAGTATAGTCAGGATAGTTCCGGATTGGTAGCCTTTATGCGATGTAGTTAAATCGTTAATGCCAGAGTACTTACTGGTATGTTTTTACTGGTGTTAGGACCTCTTGTGAGTCCGCGCGGGTAGGTACCACCGCCGTGCCTATTTCTGCCGTGAAGCAGTAATGCGTTTCGGTTTGAAGGGTGGGGCAGCCGTTGTAACTATACTTGAGACCATAGAACTTATATCTCATAGGTGGATGGCGCATTTACGTTGTGGATGTCTATGGGCTCCAGTAACCACTTAACACCAGGTGGGCTGTGAGCTCGTCCACTCATCTAAGCAATAAAAAAAAATTACTTATGCGTTGCACTTAAACACCACACCAATTTGACAGCTAATGGCAAAATGATGTGTTGACATTTGGAAGAGTCCTTAATGACAGGCTGGTACCTCAAGCATTACCGATAGGCATCAACACGGGTGACCACTTGAGACGAGATAATGAAATTGTTTCTGCGTATTTGTTAATACAAAAATGATCATGGCAAGCGACAGTGACTTTAAACTTTTATTTGTACATTTGGAATGTTAGTGTGATATTTTGTTACGTTATTTCAGTGTGCTTCCTGACTTCATATCTTAAAATCATTTAACACTAGAGGTCCCGCAGTAGTCGAAATTCGACTATAATTAATTGGAATTGTAAGTTTGTACACTATTATGATTATATTTTATACTTCTATAATCACAAATTTCGCCAAGGCTACACTATAAAAAAATATCAATAAAGACAAACAATATTTAATCTATTCTCAATTTGACCACAGACTTTAAGCAATAAGAAAAGTTTGACAATAGTCAAATAGTATGCATGCGTGTGTGTGTTTGTCAATGACAGGGGTGTGTGTAATGATTTTTTTATTGATTTAATGTATCTTTTATGCATTATTTAAAAAAAAAATTAGCATTGTGCACTTCTTCTCGATATTCTCTATAAGTGTGGAAAATTTCATACTCCTCCGTCCGCGCAATTTACGTAAAAAGGGATACAAAGTTTTTGCTTCACGTACCTATATAGATTATGGTGTCAATAAAAAATAGTTCGCGAACGCCACTTATATCTTACATGACAATTCTGCGGTAGGTATATTAGCTAATTTGCGATATATTCTACATATGTGTATGTCGACAAAAACATGTATAATAAAACAAATGTTACTAATGTGGTTTGACCTCTATTCACGTATTTTGTGCTTGAGAAATACATAAAACGTGGAAAACGAATGCGATCTAATAAAAAAAAAGTAAACAAAAAAAAACCGCTTATCTACCTATTTAAGTAAAGTTTATTACCGCGAATTAAGGTCGCTCGCTGCCTTTTCGTGATAATTAATATTTTACACAAAAGCGTTTGCTTGTTACAGTTGTGTGAGTGAAACTGCTTTATTATTTAAAAGGACAATGTACCTAAGCGATTCTCAGTTTATAATAAAAATCAAACCCGCAAAATCAAACTCGTGTAATAAAAATCAAACCCGCAAAATTATAATTTGTGTAATTACTGGTGGTAGGACCTCTTGTGAGTCCGCGCGGGTAGGTACCACCGCCCCGTCTATTTCTGCCGTGAAGCAGTAATGCGTTTCGGTTTGAAGGGTGGGGCAGCCGTTGTAACTATATTTGAGAACTTAGAACTTATATCTCAAGGTGGGTGGCGCATTTACGTTGTAGATGTCTATGGGCTCCAGTAACCACTTAACACCAGGTGGGCTGTGAGATCGTCCACCTGTCAAAGCAATAAAAAAAAATTTATACAACATCGCATACGTTCATAATAAGACTGCAGTATATGTAAAGAACAGGGCTCACCGTTAGGCACGTGTGATAAGTAGCAATTGAAACATTTCAATGCTAAAATATAATATTTAACTTTTATGTCGGGTTTCTGTATAGGTGTGGCTACAGCAAGGCTACAGAGTTAACCCGGCTCTTTGTTCAGCGGAGCGGCCACGGGGGGTCGGGCCGACTGCCAGCTGTCTTCACTACGGTTAGAAGCTCGCTCCGTTATTCACCGCAGTCGAGGCCCGCCTCTTGCCACGGAACCGTGTGGGGTTATCGCGTCTTCGCACAAAAACTTTCTTACGTCAAATCAATGGATATAACCTAACTCACCGCGAGTTTCGCAGACCAAGGACCGAAATGTGACCCGTTCATTGCTCAAGGCTCAGAACAGTTTTAATCGATGAGCCCGTAAACCCGTGTTTAATAGTTTAGAAGTGTGCCAGTGATGTGAATTTTTTTTTGTGGTTGTGTATCGTGCGATTTAAGGAAATATGAGTATTCAAAAGTGTTTTCTGGATAACTCCAGCCGGATGATCAAAGCCATGTCGACGGCTAAGTCAAACAACACTGAGACAAAGACGGTAAGTTAAAACACAGCTTCCACGGTACTCAAATTTAAATGAATAGGCACGGTATTATAGGTTATGCTTTGTTTGTATAAAAACAAACAAAAAGACATTTAGAACCACATGAGATTGTTTTTACATTAGAAATAAAAGAGAATCTAATTCACACGGTCAATCTGTTACTTTGACACCTACATTGCAAGTTTGCTCAACGTTTTTGATACTAATATCATTTGTTAACATTCCGTACCTACGTGCTACAATCGATAGCGGACATAGTGAATATTATTATTATTACCTGCCTCATTTGAAAGGTTATTTCCAATTTGTAACACATCTTTTGCCAGCACTGTTAGTAAGACTCTTTGCCAAAGAAATGACATTGTCCATTCATTTAATAAAAAAAAAATGACAGCGCAATGAAAACGTCAAGCGGCGCTAATTGTTTTTCGTTCGTAAACCGCGCTTAATACCTACGTTCGATAAAACAACACGAAAACAATTAATTCTATTATGCTGTTTTGCAGAATTATATTTTTATAATTATTATACTAAATAGTTCGTCGACTTGTCAGTAAAATACCTATTCTTGTTTGCTTTATAATCGGTTTCATCCAATGAATGATTTTTATTTATTTATGAGAACAGTATAAACTAAATTCTAATGTAGTTAGAACATGTTATACAGATATTAGCTACATTTATTATAGTTATATAACAGTTTTAGTATGTGATTGCCGCCCGACTCAAGTAATCCATCATATTAATAGTATGTAGAAATTGATTAAAATAGCTTAGTTAATAATGCGATGTACTAAGCTAATTACTCATTTTCATTTAAAAATTTAAAAACTAATCATGATATCACATCCTCGACAAGCACTTTTTAGTTTTGTCTGCAAACATGTTGATATTCTGACCAATCGTGTGCCAAGGCTAAACTTTACGCGGTATCTGAACCAAATTTATTAGATTTTAGTGATATGAAATTTAATTTAAAATATAACTTTCTGGTACAGTCAGTAATGCTTAGCGTTTGAAACGGCGAAACTTCTGGAAATTAAAATTACCGATAGATTGTTTACCGATTTGTGTGAATTCTTGCGTTGAATTATTTCTTTATTTAATTCGTTTTGCAATCCTGGCTATGATATTCTCTAGATTAGATGGACCTTTTCTGAATCATTGCAGAGAGGTCCACAAAATTTTCTCTTAATGCAGCTATTGCAATCGTATGTGGTATGTATGTCGTTGTTTTCTTTTATTACTGTGTCCTTAATAACTTATTTTTAAGAAATAACTGCTACTAACATTTATATGGATCATTATCTGAAATAAAGAATTTAATAATAATAATAATAATAATAATAAAAAAGCCTCTCAAAACATCTCGAGAGGCTTGGTCTCAACAAAAAGTCGGTGGTGGCCCAAATGCAAAAAGCAGTCTTACTCGACAATGCCCGTATAGTTCGCCGGTTTCTCTCCCAATAGTCCCTAACGCTCCGGCCGATTGTTGCCCACCTCGCCGGAGTGTGTCCTGCCGTCTTCCCAGGCGTGACAGTATTTAATACAGAATAATAATAATAATAATACGAATACCTTTTTTTTTCTGTGACGACAAAAACCGCTACGCAAGTGCTTATAGACTTTACTCCAGGCGTTGTATGAATCTTGTTTATTACACGAAGTGCTTTTCAGTTGAAACTCAGCACTGCATTCAGTGCATTCGATTATTTAGCGTCACACGTTCCGACTCTTAATTTTTGTGAAGCGTTTTGTTGACCGGCGCCTCTGCAAATGCTGCGGTGTCTGGTCTCGTCTAACCTCGTCACCTATGCTTACAATTTACAATTCGCACAAAGCATCCATTGCAGTTTTAACTGCTTGGAGGATTTTTTTTTTGCGTACAAATTATGTGCGGTCACAATTTTTTTTTTTTTCAACACCTTCGAATCAAGATCATTTAGCGTTGCGATGATAAATGTAAAAACAGAATTATAATTTAAAAACTTTAATAAAATCCCAAAGCGGTAGGCGGCAGCTTGGCTCTGCCCCTGGCATTGCTGAAGTCCATGGGCGACGGTAACCACTCACCATCAGGTATGCTCGTCTGCCTACAAGGGCAATAAAAAAAAACAAACTCTTCTGACGCTTTTCGTTTTGTGCCTTTTAATAATAAATATGCATATACATATTTAATTTTGGGGCTTATAGAACAAAAACATACTAATTTTACTGAAAAAAGTATTTGTAACTATCGCCGATTCCAGACGTTCGTCTTATTATTTAAAAAAAAATAATCACAATTGGCTTCTTGTGATGCCATTGTTGCCAGTGTCGAGCTTATAAAAATATTCAATAAAGAAATACATATTCTGTTACGTCAAAAATATAGAGCGAAATGAGATGAAGCTGAGATGAAATTAAATGAAATGAGATGCGATGGGATGAAATAGAGGCTTAGTGGTTATTTACTGAGAGCAGAGTGAACTTTTTGGCAGAACCCGAGAAGCTAAGTCTAGCGGCTTTGTTTAATTTTCCCACACCTGTGCACTCTCACAGATGCTAAACGGGTAATAAGCCTCCGTTGATACAAGCTTAAAACTTAAGAAACACTAAATTAACAAATTTTATATAACAATTCACACAACTTCGTTTCCCGCCTTTTCTCGCCAAAAAGTTCCATTGTAAAGTAGTTGATACGACATCTTTGACAGATAAATGTTTGACAGTATTGACATACGTCAAATGCTATAAAAAGGCTTCGTACACATTAGTGATTCATAACATAACCACTCTGCAAGGGTAATTTTCCGTGCTACCAAGTTTTAGAATTGTAATGTAAAAGTTATTTTTTATTTTATTTTATTTTATTACGAGTAAAGTTTCAATTAAAGAAATATTCTGTAGATGTGTTGAAATATTAAACAATATAAATTAATAGGAAAATGAAAAAAACATTTAAACAGAATTACATAGTTTTTTTTTATTGCTTCCGTTGGTGGACGAGCTCACAGCCCTAAGTGGTTACTAGAGCCCATAGACATCCACAACGTAAATGCGCCAACCACCTTGAGATATAAGTTCTAAGGTCTCAAGTACAGTTACAACGGCTGTCCCACCCTTCAAACCGAAACGTATTACAGCTTCACGGCAGAAATAGGCAATGTTAGATATTCATTGAAATAAAAGGAACATAGCACACGGCATGCAATACCGAGGCGTCTCCGATATTACCCTATAGAATTAGCAATCGATTTGTCTTAACCTCATAAAATTGCATCTGCCAGTAAATACCAAAAAGCTAGCCTATTTCTGCCACAAAGGAATCACGAGGAGTAGCCTGATTTCTTGATACGTATGGGAAGTTGGACTCATGAAGTCAGACACTGGCATCCACTTCCATAAATAGGAATCAGAAAACGTCGACTACACTGTATTTACATATGTATATAACTGAGTAATTGTCGTTATAAATAGCCCGGCCCTAAAGGTCGATTCATTTATCAAGTATGGACGAGAGCGCATCAACACGAAGGGTCACTTAGTCTTATCAACGCCGCATTGATAATGAAACGGCTAATAGTCGGCCATTCGTATGTTACCTTGTGTGCGCGTAATGTTTTTTTGTCGCCGCATGTCGCTAAATGCTGTCAATACACATGGTTCAGATTTGTTTTAAATAGGCCTCTGTAAATGGCAGTTTAGGGTAATCAAAGAAAATAATAAAGTAATATTAAAGACGCTTTTTTTTATGAAGTAACAGTTAAATTCGTCGGTTTGTTTTTTATCCTGTTGAAACCGATCTGAATGTTAGAGAAAGTTATTGTCTTGTAGGCAGGTGAGCACACGGGCCCAACCTGAGTGAAGGTTAAGGAAGCCTAAGGGGCTATTCCAGCTATGCGCGGACGGTTAGGTGAGCTCACGGGCTCAACGTGAGAGAATTTGCTAACACTAGCCCTAGTTAGTGAGAACTAGCAAGAACAGTGCCTTGTAGAATCTATCACGTTACCCGAATCGCGACCTATAGAGAAGATCCGGCAAGAAATTCAACGGTTTATTAATAAAATTGCGTCAATAATCAAACGTAATACTATCAGACAAATAACGTCTGATCTGCTCTTAATGATATCGTATATAAACGGATTCTATTGTTGAGTTTTCATGTGGTTTAAATGTGCGTAGGTAGAACGTAAATGCGCCACCCACCTTGAGACATAAGTTCTAAGGTCTCAATATAGTTATAACGGCTGCCCCACCGAAACCACCCCTTCTTGAAACCCCACCTTCAAAACGAAACGCATTACTGCTTCACGGCAGAAATAGGCAGGGTGGTGGTACCTACCTGTGCGGACTCACAAGAGGTCCTAACACCAGTGAAAAATGCTTGCCCCAAGATGGCGGGCGTCACTCACATTGTGACACTAATGGGCTCGGGTAACAATTTAAGGGCGACCTAGAACACGTTCGCCTATCTAGTCAATAAAAAAAGAGATATGACCAGAAGGGTGAGGTATTTTATTAAAAGGGCCTTTTGTAATATACCTTGTTACGCAATCGTTCCTTGAATCTGTACTAATGTTATAAAGCTGAAGAGTTTGTTTGTTTGAACGCGCTAATCTCAGGAACTACTGGTCCGAATTGAACTTTCAGTGTTAGATAGCCCATTTATTGAGGAAGGCTATACAACATCACGCTAAGACCAATACAAACGGAGCCACCAATAAAGAATGTTGCAAAACCGGGGCTTTTTTCCTTTTTGAGAGCTTCCGCTGCGTGCGCTGCGGAAACGGTTAAAGTTTCGGTAAAATAATGTATGAGAAATTGTTCCCCTTTAAAAGATCCAAAAAAAGTCGGCGACAGCATATGTCTATATGTTAAGGTTGCCTCACTATAACGTTTTTTAGACTGACCAAATTTGTTCTCAAATTAAGCATTATTTGTGAACTATTCCACGCGGACGAAGTCGCGGGCAAAAGCTAGATACATCTAAACCACATGAAAACTCAACAATA